ACAGAGGGAGTATCATACTAGGAGCTAGGAACCATCACGGGTATGGTGTATGTACAGATCACAATCACAGATAATTTATATATATATAGACGATAATCATATGTGTTCACAACTAATTATCGTCTATGTATTTATAAATCATTTGTGATTGTATCATTAGTATGGACAAGCGTTGTTAGTTCCTAACATTTTTAATATATATTTTATGTATAATTGTTAGCAGTTATTCCCTTTGTTCCTAAGTATTTGTTCACTTTTGACTTTTTAAATCAGAATTGGTAAAATTTGACTTCAAATTAAATAAAAATGATATTAGATCTTGATACAAAATAGTTTTATTAGATTTATTGCATCAAATATTTTTAAACTATTATTTTATCTAATTAATACACAATAGATTTTATTTAATTATAAGTCAAAGGCTGAAAACAATTGGTCGAAAAAAGTTAAAACTAGATAAATACTCAGGGACGGTGGTTGAATATATTTATGTCAAGTGTGTAGATAGATGTTCTTGTTAGCTAAATATTCAGGGAGTATTTTTGAAGATTTTTTTTTGAAAAAACTGTAGTATTTGTAAGGGGAATTACTTATGCTAGTTATTTAAGGTTTTAAAAGTAAAGCCGTTATAAAAAAATTCCTCACAAATTTTGTTTTATTATAAAGATTTTTGAAATCCAGCTATTTGGAGTTATTTGAACTAAGTATTCCAACCAAAGAAATTTACATCAATGTCAAACATGACATAGTATAGTGTCATGTGGGGAATACTTGTTTTTAAGATTTTGCTCATTCATATCACCAGTCACTCAAAACCACATCATGTATTGACATAACTCACTATCTCAATCACTTCACACTCATAGGAACTCACTTCTACCGTAATGATTACATTTTTATTTTTATTTAATATTTACATATTCTTATTCAATTTAAATTTTATTTATTTTATATAAAGAAATTAAATAATTTTGCAAACATCTCTTAAATAAAATACTACTAAAAAACTGAAAAATAATGAAGCTAAAAAACATATTTCAAAATTTTGCTAAAAAAAAAAATAAAACTAAATACAAACAATAAAAAACAAAAAAAATAATAAAAGAAAATTCACATGGAAGAAAGCAACTTAGCAAAAAAACTAAACAAAAAAAGGAGAAACCAACTAAGCAAAAAAACAAACTAAACAAAAATTACTGAAAAACAAAACAAAAGAAATAAACAAAGAAGAAAATTAAAGCAACTCAGCAAAAGCAAAGGGAAGAAATTACTTGTTGTGCACATGCTTCTCTCTCTGTGATGGTGGCCAAGGATCTCTACTCGATCACGGTAAAAGGAGGCGGTGTTCTTGCGAGTGGAAAGCAGACGTGACTTCGCCACGAGAGATCACGCGACGGTGGTGGGCAGGCATTGCGCCTAGCCTTAAAAAAAGAGTAAAAATTGTATATTGATATGTAATAAAGTTATTAAGTTAATATATAGTCTAAAAATAAAATATTGACATGTCACTTTGAAGTTAATAAGTACACTCCAAGAATTGTACACCTTGAGCACAACCACAGCATGGGAGAATTCAACTCTAATATCAATGAAAGAGTAAATGTATAATGAAAGACAAAAAAGATTTTCCTCTTCTTTCTTTGCAATTTACCCACATTAAGCCAAAACCATTGCATGTAACCACATGAATGGAGAATTTCTCCCATGTGGTCAGTACTCAATATAATGTTGTCTCACAAAAAAGCTAAATGATCACTCATTTAATTCATGTTTGTCAAATGTGGTTGCCAAATGGTCAAATATTAGGATAAACACTTCATCATAATAATAATTGATCTAGCTAGTAAAGAATTTACCCCACATTTTTATCCAATATTCCATCTAAAAATACTGAGTATTGAACAAAAGTTTTATTAATCGAAACTAGAGATGATCGAATAAAAAATGACCCGATGAATATAGGTCGAATTTGACCCAACTCGAACCCGATGTGATCGACCTCCAATCTTATTTTTTGGAAATCATGCCAAGAAATTCTAAAGATTCAACAACTTTGTTCAACATTTCATCTAAAAATATACTGGGTATTAAAAAAAGTTTTGTTAACCCAAATTAAAGATGATCGAATTCAAAATGACCCGCTAAATATGGGTCAAATTTGACTGAACTCGAACCCGATAAGATCGACCTCCAGTCTTATTTGTCGGAGATCGATCATGCCAAAAAATTCTAAAGATTCAACAACTTTATTCGTCGTTCCTTTAGGGTTGGATCGCCTATTGTTCAACATTTTCAACTTAAAATAATATAATGGCTAAAATCCACCATTGGTCCTTCAACTTTATTAGTTGTGCACAATTGGTCCTTCAAGTTTCAAAAGTTCATAAACAGTCCTTCAAGTTTATGAGTTCTGTACCATTGGTCCTTCAAATTTCAAAAGTTCATAAGTAGTTCTTCAGGTACACGTCAATCTTCCAGATGAAGTCTTTTTGACATTAAATATTTAAAGTTAAACGAAATACTAGTTTGATATAATACGAATAAATTCCACTATGTATGACGACGTACTACTCCGTATTATATGGAGCTAGTATTCCATTTAGCTTTTAACATTTATTGTCAAAAGGACCTCATCTGGAGGGCTGACGTGTATTTGAAGGACTATTTATGCACTTTTAAAACTTGAAGGATCAATCGTGCATAACTCATAAAGTTGAAGGACTATTTATGAACTTTTAAAACTTGAAGGATTAATCGTGCACAATTGATAAAGTTGAAGGACCAATGATGGAGTTTAGCCTAATATAATACAACCTAAAATATAATTAATTTTCTTAAATACAGACCTAATACTTTATACTACCTTTTTTTCTGAGTATTTGCTCAGTTTTGATTTTTTACATCGCTTAATTATTTTCAATCTCACAAAGCTTATTTAGCTAGTGCCTTGTGTCAATGCCTAGAAAGCTTAGCTTCATCCTTTCCTTTGTCTTCATCGATGGAAGGGTATAAAAAACACTAAACATATATTTTTTTTTATTTTTTTTCACATTTAGATTATAATTTAATTTAAATCTTCTCATCAGTTAAGTGCCCGGGTTTCGTTTTTTAGTTACAACCCTTTTATTCTTTTAATAAATAATTAACCATTCACTAAAAACAATCTTTTTCTAATGATTTTCTTCGGAATTTGACCAATCCGTCCGAGTCCCTAAACTTCCACACAATTTTCCACACAAGGGATTATTCTCAAGTACTTAATTAGAGGAGGATTTTAAAATCATAGCCTTTTGTATTGATTAAATACTTGAAATTGAGGTTTACCAAATTAAATTAAGTTTAGTAACAATAATGTCATATGTTGGAATCACACACACAGACAGCCAAACATGTTCACCTTGTAATCAGCAATGTTCTGAACCATTTGGGGTTTTATTGAAAATTATTAGCATTGGAGCCTTCAAAGTTCAAATATTTAATTTCCTAAAATAGTTCAAACAAATGCAAGAATTACTTTGAAACCATAAATCCTCCCTTTCTTTAGAAAATCCAAAAAAATAGATGATACTTGGATGATGCACAGAAAAGGGTGATGGGTCGGGATAGATACGAGAGCTTATATTCTGATTAAAAAAGTAAAAGATTAAATTCAATTAATTACGTTGTTCAACTCAAGATCTTATATAAGAATTACTTTTTCTCACTTTTCTGATGGGGTAAAGTTAACAACTAGCATATGGACTGAGTTATAAGACACTAGGTCCGAACCACATTAAAATATTGAATCCAATTGATTAGTTAGTTCAACTCAAAAACTTATATACCGGTTATTTTACTCTTGGACTTCCGATGTGGGATGCACTTTAACACTCTCCCTCTCGTGGACAGTCATGTCATTTTGAATCTAACCGGTTGACCACTTGCAAGTGGACTCCCATCCCCTTGATTTTTTTAAGCACCGGCACCTAAACGACCACGAGCCGCTAGGTTTGAACTTCCAGACAATCAATCAAGTTAAACAGGACATATGACGTTGGATATACATTATATTCCACATGGGCAACTAGGCTAAAGACTAGGTCCGCTAGGATTGAATGTATAGACGGTTGCCTTAACAAACGAGGTGGGCTAAAACTTGATTTGATACCATGATAGAATTTAGAATGAGGTATGGATCACTAGACTGGGTCATACAATACTTAATTGGGCCGAACCACATTAAAAGATTAAATTTCTCTTACGTAGTTCAACTCAAGAGCTTGTATACCGATTATTTTTTTCCCACTTTTCCGATGTGGAAATTCTAACAACATTTTAAATATTTATACATTATTCACACACGCGCGCGCACTGTATTAAGTTTACACAACGAATAAATATGCACTGTGTAAAATGAGAGCTTTCCCATCGATTAAATGGACACCGACCGTTTTCTGAAGAAAAACTTAGATATTTATTCCAGATGTAATATATATTGTGTAGTAGTGATGTATGTAACATGTATGTAATGATTAAATGGATCGGATCAAAGATGAAAGTTAAATGGATGATGAATGGGGTGAAACTTTACTCGATCCCAACATATATAACCTATTGCCATTATTATTCCCACTCTCCAAGGGAAAATAACTAGGAGTAGGGTTTTTGAGTTCAATGTTTTACTATATCAAAAAATATTTTGAAATCTAACACACAATACGTACCAAAGTATGACATTTCATAGTCCCAAAATCTTTTGTGGTTAAATCACAAATTTGATCTTGTAATTGACTTGGAATTGGTTATTTCACATTATTCAAAAATACAGCTAGTAGAATCATGAAAACATACCAAACACTTTTGTGATCATACCCAACTTTTTTACCACCCCATGAAAGTACAAAATTTACAAAGTAATTGTGCATTCAAAATACTTTATTGGAAGCCACTATGAAGATAAAATTGAAGAGAGTATTGAAGTGATATTGAGCAAATGAATTTAAAGTAAAAAGTGATGAAAAACCCATTGAAACATGCATGAAAAATATGAAAGAAATGCATTTAGAAGTATGTAAGGTGAACAAACCCAAAATGTGTTTTTACCTTAACCTTAGCTAACACACTTATGGTGGGTGAGATTAAGGTAATAATAGCCAGGTTGTGAATGAAGCAAGTGAGCTGCAGGTTTTACTGAATTACCCTTGTCCCCGGCCCCGCCGTAGCCAGCTAGAATGTCGGGCGGCCGCCTCCGCCCCCCCAGTACGCCGCCGCTGCCGCCTCATTTGGGATTTGAGTCGCAGAGTTGAGAAGATTAGGCGGCACGCCTCCGTGGATCATGGACGGATCCGGTAGTAGTCGCTGGTGATGTGGCGGTTGAGGCGGCCCTCCGGCAACTGCTACCGGAGAACCCAACCCTCCTCCGCCTTGATACTGCGGCTCGTCCTCTTCCAAGGGGAGCCGCTCGTAGGCCGCGTTGCTGAAGGACGCGGCCATGATGACAACCGGTCCGGCCGCCATAAGCGCCCCGACCACGCTGCCCCCGACCACCTGCCCCTGTCCTCCTGCCAGGTATATGCTCAGCCCCGTGGCAGAAGGCGGGGCAGGAGGGGGCAGGAAAGATCCCGATAGGGACAGGATCTCGAAGCGTCCGTGCAGGGTGACGACGGCGGCGGACGCGTGCGAAGCCGGCTGCCGGAGCGTCACGTTCGTGACGATCCCGTTGCCGCTCAGCACGCAGACGCCGCGCTGCCGCATCCTGGCGAAGGCGGCGACGCTGTCCATGACGTCGCACCCGTCGGCGACCTCCATGAGGTGGGTCCGGAGCGAGTTCGCGCTGTCGCGGGTGATGATGATCGGCGGCTTCGGCTTGTTCTTGGATCCGGCCGGCCGGCCCCGGGGCCGCCGGCTGATTTCCCCGGCAGCGTCGCCACCGCTGTTCTTGGGATCTCCGGCGGCACCGTCACGGACACCGCCCCCGTCGTGCTCCTCCGCCGGATCTGGGTTCTGGTTACCCCGGAACTGGTGGTAGTTGAAATCCATCAATCCAGCAGCCTTGTGTGTGTATATATATTATCACTCCGTACTACAAGCAGATTATTCAAAACAAAGAAAAAAATCCCATGAAAATGAATATATTCTTGAAAAAATAATTATTATTAGTGTCAAAAGTGAATATTTTAATTTTGGGATTTGTGGTTTTGATGAGAATGAATGAATGAATATGAAGGAAAAGATGGGTTTGGGGTTTGGTTAACTCATCAGCTGTACTGAAAGGAAGGGGTCCTTTTTCTACTATCCCTTCAACAATTTTTACCTAATATTAAACAAACCCAAAATTTGATTTTTTGTCACTATCCAAATTGCACCAGACACAACATGCACATATTCAACTTTTATTCGTTTTAAGATTTTAATATTTATTATATATGTATGGGAGTATTATTGTTATTCATCATTGGCATCTTTTTCATCACTTACTGTTTAGGGCTGAGTATTATACTCCCCCATTTTTGGTGTTATTCTAATTGGTGTTATTTATCTAGTTTCATTTTTTTGGGAATCAAATCCAACCAATTTTTTTTTTATCTTTTTTAAAGTTAGAGCAATTTATCTAAATAGTATTAAAACATAGTAATTTTTTCAATGTAGTATCATATGTTTTTATTCTCCAGTATAGTACCATTGGTGATACTGCCACTGAGCATTGTTCAAACTAAATGTCCATTATCACTGGATATTGTTCCTGCCACTAGACATTACTAGTACATCTCCCGTGCGATGCACGAAAAAATAATAATTTCAAAGTTTTTTAAAAAAACGTAGTAATGTTAGCTACATTACTAAAATTATATGTTGTGGAAATGATAAGTCAATGTAATGTAAAAAAACATATTTGTATTCCATTGTAAATATACTACCTAGGCCAAAGAATTGTGTTAGATGGGGGCACCATTTATTGGGATCTGGGGAGTCTGCTTATTTTTTTAAAATAAGCTACTCCATATATGAAACGACAAAAAAATACTCCATCCGTCCTAAAATTAACTTTTCAGTTTGACTTTTGTAGTCAAACTTTTTAAACTTTGACCATATATTACGGAAAAAATACATTGAATTTTCATATAAATTTATTAGCAATAGATTCATTTTGAAACATAGTTTTGAAATATATAATTTTTATAAAATACATTTATATAAAAATTGAGATATTGATGGTCAAAGTGTCGCATTGAAGACCATAAAAAGTCAAATGAGAAGTTAATTTTAGGACGGAGGGAGTAATGAATTTTATTTCAAACATTTATCGAATGTAAAACATTTTTAATTGTTAGTGTAAAATTTATTTCATAAATAATTAATTATATGTAACAAAATAAACTTTACCAAAAAAATTAAACAAAACATTTATATTTAACCTAATAAGATGGGGTCATATTAATTTTCATTGAGGGCATATGTACATAAAAAATAATTTTTTTTTACCTTATTACATAAAATTAGTAGGGACATATGCCCCCAACTCCAATAAAGAGCATCCAGCCATCCACCCTTGCCAAATTTGAGAGTATTTTGATAAAAAGTTGTATTTTTTAAGTATTCGTATGAATTTTTCCTTTTTAAAAATGAAATACGGAGTATCTTATTGTGTTAGTTTTACAACTATTTTCTTGATTATATAAAGGCTCTCGATCGATTGAATATTCACCTAGGGCCTCAAAAAGGCTAAAAATGGTATGGGGAGTATTAACAAATTATTTAGTCCAAATTTAGTGTAGTATTATCCTCTTTTATAGTTTATTATTTAAACCGTTAAATATATTGTATATATTTAATATATTATATTATTTTCTTACCTTATTTGTATACGTTTTCTTACTTGTGTTTCTCCTACTTTGTTTAGGACTGAGACTCATTTTATATATATACATGTAACCACAACCTATTCAATCAATGAAAATCATTACTCTTCATGGTATCAGAGCCTAATTAAACAAATAAAAAAAGAAACCCTACCCTACCTCTCGGCTCTCCCTCTCCCTCTCGGCAGTTCCAGCGGCAGCTCCGCCTCTCCCTCTTGTCGCCGGCAGCAACCCCTCTCCTCCTCTCCCCCTTTCGTCGTCGGCTCTCTTCTCTCCAATGGCTGACAACGAGGTCACCTCCAACACCAATGCCACCCCGGCAAAGACTCCTCATCTTGCTTTCACGATGATCTCCAACGTCAAACTCCATGTTCCGGTTTTTCTCAGCCTCTCTCAACCGAACTACAAGAAGTGGAGTCGCCTTTTTTTCCTATTGGTTCGCCGATTCAATCTCCAAGGCTACATCAACGGCTCTATCGTCCCCCTCTCTGAAGACGACGATGAATGGCTCCAACTTGACGCTCTCCTCCAGGGATGGATTCTGTCCACCATCTCCGACGAAGTCTCCGATCTGGTTATCTCCTCTGTCTCCACCGCTTCTGCTCTCTGGAAGGTTATTCACGATTTGTTTCACGACAACAAGAACGCTCGTGCCATGCAACTAGAACACGAGTTCCGCACCACCGTCAAAGGCAACACCACCATGGCGGCCTATTGTCAACATCTGCAAAATCTTTCCGATTGGCTAGACGATGTTGATGCTCCGGTGTCCCAGCACCAACTTGTTCTTTAGATGCTTCGTGGTCTCCCTGCGGATCTGCAGGCCCAGACATCTTTTCTTCAATTTCGGGATCCGCTGCCCACTTTTCTACAAGCCCGCTCCGCTCTCATGTTGTTGGACCGGCAGTGGTCTCCCATGGCCGACACTGGTAGCACGGCTCTTTTCGCCAGTCGGCCCGGCGCCAACAGCGTCGGTCGGCAGCCATCCAGCGGCGGCAGCGAGGGGGGGCAACACGGTGGCAGCTTCCATGGCGGCGGGCTCCAGCACGGCGGCAGCTACGGTGAGGGCAGCTCCTTCGGACAGCGCAACGGCTATGGACGCGGTGGCGGGCGAGGCAACGGCTCTCGGGGTAGAGGTCGTGGACGACAAAACAGCTCGAGGCAACGGACTTATCCCGACGGACCCAACGCCTGGAACTCACCTCACCCAAACCATAACCCGGGCCTATTGGGCCCACGTCCCATGTCTA